GACCAGACTGAAGCTGGAGCAAGGAACTCTATCCAGGTCTCCCCCATGGGTGGCAAGGGCTCAAATACTCGGGCCATGTTCCACTGCTTTCTCAGGTACATTAGCAGGGAGCTGCATTGGAAACAGAGCAGCTGAGACTCAACTTGGCAATCTGATATGGGATGCAAGTGACAACTTAGCCTGCTGTATCACATGCTGGCTCTGAAGTTATAACTTGACATCCCTTCTGATCAACATTCTTGAAAAGTTTGTCCAGCGGGCTGGAGCTGTGGCATGATTGGTAAAGTTGCCATCTGCAGTACTGGCATCCCATATGACTGCTGGTTCAAGTCCAGCTGCTCTACTTCCAATCCAGCTCCCTGCTAATGCATCAGAGGAAAAGCATCAGAGGATGGCTTAAGTACTAAGGTCCCTGCACCCACATGGTAGATCTGGAGGAAGCCCCTGGCTCCTGGCTTCTGCCTGTCCCAGCCCTGGGCAGTTGTGGTAATTTGGGGAGTGAACCAGCAGATGGAAGATCTCTCTCTCTATCTCTGTCTCTCTCTCTGTACCTCTGCCTTTCAAATAAATAAATACATCTTTAAAAAAATTAGTCCAGTATTTGTTTGCTCCTTTCTCATGGGCTGGCCGCATAGATCCTGGCCTTACCAGATGGTGATGAAGTCTCCAGAAGGCTGTCTGCAGCAGGCTGAGGTTGAGGAGGACGCTATGACCGATGGGCTCGGGGATCAGCCAGACGCAGTCCTGGGAGCTGGCGTATGGCTGGGGGTCTCCAAGGGAGTACACAGTAGCACTGAAGGAGGTGACGTTCCTGCCTCAGGGAACTGTGGAGAGGGAGCACAGCACGCACTGAGTGCCCAGAGTGCGCTGGACCTTCCCACAGAATCCCAGCTGCCTGCACAAAGCACCCTGCTGGGGAGGTGGGGAGTCCTCACCTGTCAGGTGCCCTGTGGGCCTGCCCCTCCCTACACCTCCCTCTCTCTCTGTCATGGAAGAGACCTAAGAAGGAAGCACCCGGCTCAAGCTTTCCCCTCTGCTTTCCAGGAGGGGAACCAGCAGATGTCAGGGCCAAGGCTGCAGTACTAGGAAGAGATTTTGGAAAGAAAAATTTCTCTTTGATCTGCTCTTTCTGGAGTGGATTTGACTTTGAGCTGAGGGTTTCTGTGGAGAGGTGACAGGGCCAAATTAGAGCAGAGCCATCTATTCACCTGATGATGCCCACAAGTGTTTTGGTCTCTCTCAGTTTCTGTTTCCTCACCTGCAAAATGGGCCCAAGCCAAGAGGACCGTGGTGGCCGTGAGGCAAGGGACGCTCACAGAATGCCCAGCCCTGCACTTGCCACATAGACACGGCTGCCTCTCCTTATCTTCCTGCTCCCCTAAGGCAAACCCACTTTGTGGCTCACTCTGATGGAGCTTTAGGCAGGGGGATGCAGAGGCCTTGAAAGCCCCATGGTGTTGGCACGCAGTCACCAGGGAGAGGATAAGCAGGGATGCTGGGAAAGAAAACCCCCAAGTTCCTTGGTCCAGAGTCAGGAGCGCCTTTGGCTGACACCCAGGGTGGGGCAGATGGGACAGAGCAGAAAGAACCCCAACTGCCTCCATGCAAAATGCAGAGGACAGGGTTCCTAGGTGTGGTGCCATGGACCTGCCTCCCTCATCTCTCACACACACACACACACACACACACACACACACGTGCTGAGTATCCACACAGAGCCAGGCATGGCCTGGAGAGACAGTGGGGAGCAGGAGGCTCTAGTTTTTCCCATGGCACTCACAGCTCACTGCCACCCAGCCATGCACCCAGCAGCAGTACAAGGCAAGGTAAGCCAGGTCATTGGTGCGCAATGTCCCAGGGCTTCTGCAGGGGGCTCTCCTGTGTGTGAGGGTAGGGAAGAGTCCCTGAGAGTGCTCACATCTAGACACAGCCCTGAGGGATGGCAAGGACCCAAGAGGGCAAGGTAGCAGAGTGGGTTTTTATTTATTTTTATTTTTTTAACTTTTATTTAGTAAATATAAATTTCCAAAGTACAGTTTATGGATTACAATGGCTTCCCCCCGCCCCATAACTTCCCTCCCACTCGTACCCCTCCCATCTCCCGCTCCCTCTCCCATTTCATTCACATCAAGATTCATTTTCAATTATCTTTACATACATAAGATTGATTTAGTATATATTAAGTAAAGATTTCATCAGTTTGCACAGAGTGGGTTTTTATAAGAGGAAGGAGCAGCAGGTGCCAAGAACCAGAGGCAAGATGTCCTGGTGTACTGAGGAAATGGAGGGCATCTCAGCTTAGGTAGGGTACAGGGTCTGTGAGAGCAGACACGAGAGGTAGGTAGGCACCAGGTCCCGAGACACACAGTGTGCTGCCCCCAAGGGTCTAGAATTTACTCCAAGCAGTAAGGGGCTGCCTTGGCTGACCTCTGAGTGGGGGAATGGAGTCCACACTGGTGGTTTTGAAGGCTTGCTCTCCCTGCGTTGAGAAGCCAGCACTGAGGAACCTAAGACTGGGTTGAGTGAAGCTGGCCCATCGAGGAAGCCAGCAGCAGAGATAACTCAGACCGTTGGTGGCCTGGGATAAGGTACAGGCAGTGGAGAGAAAGAAGCAGACACACTTGAAAGACACTTGGGATGCAGAAAGCAGCACTTGGTGGATATGGGAGAGAGCAAACGGGAGGGCACTCAAATGAAAGGGTGAGTGGCCAGAGTCCTCATCACTAGACAGGCATTTCAGCTTAGCAGAGGCCGAGATGAGAAGGTCCATTCTCAATATACAGGGACGCTAGACGCCTCTGAAGGGAGTGGAAGTATTTAGGAAGCATTGCACGGACAAGGGCACTTGGAAAAGTTCATGGAAAATGGCACTGAAAGGTAAGCTGACTTTGGTGAAAAGAGATTCTGAGAGGCACGCCCAGTGTTTTCAGGAGATGCATTTCCTGAGAACGTTTAGAAGATCCTTAACTGCACGCATTTTTACATGTTCTGGCACCAAAGAAGCTAGGCTTTTGATTCCATTTTCTGTGACCTTTCTCCAGTCCCTTCATGCAGGCAGGAGTCTCAGCCCAGGGACTGTAGATCAAGATGGCATTTGGGGGACATGGAAGTGGGTGAGAGAAGAGAAGGGAAGAAACTCCAAAGAACATTTAAGGGGCAAAGGAATAGATGACCACAAAAGGCGGCAGAGGTGGAACAGTGGTTGGAAAAGCAACTTTGGTGTCAAAGAAACCAATGGAAGAAGCCTCTAGAAGGAGAAGAGCAGACTGCTCCCTTCTCTCACCAGCTGTGTTGGAAGACGGCACTCAAGGAGCGAGGAAGGAGTGACACGCCACCAACCAGCAACTCGGGAATGATCCACTGCGCAAGCACAGGGTGGTCCTGGAAGTCTGGAAAACTTAGCGGAGGTTTAACCTCCAGCACCAGAACCAGTGCTGCACACAGAGCTGCTTTCCCACGGAGAGTTCCTGCTGAGCGCTCCCCAGGGTGAGGAAGCCATCAGCGAGGTCCCAGTTGCTCAGGGAGTTCAGGGGTCTGCAGGGGGAGGCCTGGTGATCTGATTCCAGGGCTGAGCCCTCTTTCTGGGTTATGGGCCCCACTCAGCTTCCCCTCTGAGAAAATGCTGGGCCTACTGGGCTGAGGTGTGCAGGGTGGGGCAGAGGCAGCATGACCCTGTGTCATCTTCCATCTAGGTTCTGATTAAGGAAGAAGACTCAAAAAAGCACCAACAGCTCCCTGGGATCCACCTGTTGGCTCCAGACCCATATGGGACACAGGACAGTGACCAGAGAAGCAAGAAAGCTGTTAGGAAAAAGGTGCGTTCTCCTCTTCCCTTGGGAAGATGCCAGGATTCTCTCAACCTCTCCAGGACTCAGCCCAGCACTCGCCTACTTCACTCTCATGTAGAGCCTTCCCTTCCAACTGGGGACATCTAGCCTGTCCAGGTGGGGCTTCCCAAGGGCTGTGTCAGTGGGCCCCCAGATCACACCCCTCTAGGACTTTTCCGGTACTGGCCCAGTGCTCTGTCACCAGGACGCCCTCCCTGGCCAGACTGGGTCACAATCACTTGAGAATGGGACCCACTGGAGAACCCCTGGAGCAGGCAGATGCATGGTGTGACCACCCAGGGAGAGTTGCCAAGGGTGAGCAAGAGACATACCTTCACACCTGGGCAGGGGGTGGTCCCAGTTCAGGGTGGTGCCATGCTGATATGTGAGGATGGTGTGGCCCATTAGCTGATATCCTGAGAGGCACTCGAAGGTCACGGACTGTCCCACATTGTAGTCGGCTCCCCTTATGATGCCATTGGTGAAGGGCTCTGGGTCTGGGAACTCCTGAAGCTCATAGGCTAGAAGAGTATAGGAGAGAATGGGCTTTATCCTCCCCCAGGTATCTTCTTGTGACCAGAATGCAGGAGCTGCAGACACTTGGCACAGTGGGGAAGCACCGAGACTTGGACACAGGAGGACCTTGGTCATTTACTAAAAGCTGTTGACGTTGGCTGAGTCATTTAACTGCTGTGCCCGTTTTTTCTTGTTTTTTTTTTTTTTTTTTTTTTTTTTTTTTTTTTTTTACTTATAACATGGTTATTGTGAGGATACACAGGGCAACACTTGCAGAACTGTTGGCACAACAGCTGCTCATGGTGAGAACTCAGTAGAGGTGCCCCATCATTGGCATTTCTATGGGGAAAGGGAGCTCGGGGAAGCCACTGACCACTGCTATTTCCGGAGCAGCTCCTGGGGCCAGACAGTGGACTGGGGTCCTCCGTGTTGGTCGCTGCATTTAACCTTCATAAGGGCCAAGGCCACAAACAAAAGCAGCAGTGGGGCGTACAGGGCTTTTGGACTCTGAGAACTCAGAACCTCTCAGGGAGGAAAGCAGGTGAACCTGGGATGAGGAGAGTTTTCAGAGGGGTGGCTGGGCCACCAGGAGTGTGTAGCTGGCATTCCAGCCAGCCCCTCTGAGAAACCAGAAATCTGTCTCCATGAGAATGTGCAGCCCTGACTCAAAAGGACATGCCCAGATGTTAAATCGCTGAGGCCATCCCAATGGGGGAGGCCGCCAATGGAGCTGTAGAGCGGGGCCCACAGGACAAGGAACAGCTTTCATGGCAGGCATCTGGCACAGAAAACCACCAGCAGAAGGAGCTGGAACATTCCTACAGTAAAGATTCTTCATGGAAGTAGCTGAGACTAAATGCAGCATCTAGCAGGGGATGCCTTTATCAGAGGCAATAACACCACAAAAAGAAACGATCACATTTCTAGGCAACTGTGCTGTTTCTGTTTGCTGTCGCCCAGGGCAGGCTCTATGGCAAGAACCTGGCAGGTGTCACTGTGAAGTCACCCAGCTGGCAGGGCATGTTAAAGAACGGGGAAGCCTCGATGGGTGTGGGTGGGTCCAAGGGGAGCCACAGCTCTGTCAGGGGGTTAGGGCTGAGGGTGGTGGGCACCGCAGTGGAAGCAGGGAGCCTGTTGCCTTAGGAATCACTGGACCAGGACAGCCTGGGCCTTTAAAGAATGCCTCCCTGAGGAACACGTGGTGCACAGCAGCACAGGCGAGACCCACACCACAGCCAGATGTGGCCTGGAGACATGCCAGGCTTTTGAGAGAGAGGGGACAGCGTCAGTGACATCAGCAATGTGGTGCCTGGGGTTCCCAGGGAGAGGCAGGGCCTCTGGGGGCAGAAATGACCCTGAGGACAGCGGCTCCTTAGCTTTCCCAAAGAGAGACTCCTGCAGGAGATGAGGTGGGTTTGTACTGAAGGGAGACGCTGCAGTGGGTGTGGAGAGAATTTCAAACACAGTGCACACTTTAAAACACTGGGGGGGGGGGGGGTGTGGCACTGTGGTATAGCAGGTAAAGTTGCTGCCTGCAGTGCTGGCATCCCATATGGGTGCCAGTTTGAGTCCCGGCTGCTCCACTTCCAATCCAGCTCTCTGCTATGGCCTGGGAAAGCAGAAGATGGCCAAAGTGCCCATTGGGCCCTTGCACTCATGTGGGAGACCCAGAAAAAGCTCTTGGCTCCTGGCTTCAAATCAGCACAGCTCAGGCTGTTGCGGCCAGTTGGAGAATGAACCAGCAGATGGAAGACCTCTTTCTCTCTCCTCTCTGTAACTTTACCTGTCAAATAAATAAATAAAAATCTTTAATTTTTTTTTAATTTTATTTGAAAAGCAGAATTACAGACAGTGAGAGAGAGAGAAAGGTCTTCTTTCCGTTGGTTCACTCTCCAAATGGTTGCAATGGCCAGAGCTGCACTGATCCGAAGCCAGGAGCAGGTGCTTCTTTCTGGTCTCCCATGTGGGTGTAGGAGCCCAAGCACTTGGGCCATCCTCCACTGCCCTCACGGGCCACAGCAGAGAACTGGATTGGAAGAGGAGCAACCAGGACTAGAACCGGCATCCACATGGGATGCCAGTGCCGCAGGCGGAGGATTAACCTAGTGCACCACGGCCCCGGCCCATAAATAAATGTTTAAAAATAATTCAAAAAAAAAAAAAAGATACGTATTTCATTGTTGGAAGTCAGCATCTCCGCAAGGGCTCTGTCTTCCCGTGATGTCGCTATGGCCTGATGTTTCTGTCCCATCAGAATCAGAACTGTAATCCTTCACATGGAGGTGTCTGGAGGAGGGGCTCTTTAAGGGTGGGTGGCACTGGCTTCCTTATACAAGAGGCCTGGGTGTGGGTGCTGGGGGAAGTGGCTAGGCCATCACTTGGGACATCCACCTCCCACCCTGGGGTGCCTGGGTTTGAGTTCAGGCTCTGCCTCTGAGCCCAGTTTCCCTGCCACCCACTTGCGAGCCCCTCACAGAGCTCCTGGCTTCAGCAGGGCTCAGACTCAGCTGTTGGGGGGCATTTAGGGAGTGAATCTGGGGACAGGAGTTCTCTCTATGCCTCCTCTGTCTTGCATGCTTTCAATTAATAATAATAATAAAAAGTCCAGAGAGAGCTACTCTACTCCTCCTGTCAGTGAGGACACAGCAAGAAGGGGCTACCTGTGACCCAAGTGCTGCCCCCCAAACACACACAAGGAATCTGCCTGACCTCAGGTTTCCCAATACCCAGAGAGGGAAGAAGCAGCACAGTTGTGCTATTTATCAGCATCCCCAGCTCCTGGGGGTTTGCTGATACAGCCTGAGGCAACTCAGGATGCACTCAGAACCCATCTGCAAGGCTTTCAGTTTTAACAAAGACATGTTTAGCATTAGAAAGGATGTCTAGCAACAAGACAAAGAAGCAGTGGAACAATCTGGGAAGGGCATAGAACAGAGGGCTCCTCAGTTAGCAGCACCAGGGAAGCATCCAAGGGAGACGGAGGACCTACTCGGGGCCGCCCCACAGGGTTACACAGGCTGGGCACAGGGCTCACAGCCGCAGGCGTCAGATGGCAAGCCTGAGGTGGAGAACGGGGGTCCTTCCAGGGAATATGTGCCTGGAGGAGAGGGGCCTGTCAGGGTTTTCCCTCAGGCAAGGCAGAACCTCAGTGAGGGTGGCTGAGCCCCACCCAGGAAAGCCCTGTCTGGGGCAGGCTTAGTGGGTGCTCCTAGAACTCTGAGAGCCCCTGACGCTGCCACAGGAGGAGCTCTGTGGCCAGGGAAGGGCCCAGAAGGATGAATTCCACCGCTGAACCTGGGGGGAGTGGTTGATGGCACGGGCAGTGAGAAGGGACAGCTGGCCGCTTGCCCAGTGACAGCTGCCGGCCACAGGGTGGAACCCTAGAGGCTGCCCCTCTAGAAGAGGCTGCGGGTAACACATGCGGCCAAGGGCGTGAAGCCACCATTGGGCCTGCCGCCCCCTCCCTGCCATCTCCCTTGCCCACATGAAGGTGGGCTAGGAAGGTGCCTGGAGTATGTCTGTCCTTACTCTGGTACTCTAGCTTGAATCCCAGCCGATTCCAGGAGTGGTCACTGTGGAAGTACATGGTGTGACTGGTCTTGTACAGGCCACTGTGGAGTTCCATGAAGTCATGGTTGGGCTCAGTGGAGAAGTTCAGGAACTGGATGTGAGCTCCTGGGAGTGAGACAGAGACAGCTAGTGCCCAGAGCAACGCAGCCCCGCTCCACCACCTGACCTGTCCTCTCCCGCCACAGCCCACGTTCCCACTCCTCACTCCCCTCTCTGGATCCTGTCTCCAGGCACCACTGGAAAGTCCATTATTCATTCGAAAGGAAAGGCACTGGTCATTTCAGAGACTCCACCCACGTGCATTGTGTTTTATTGAGGACAAACCCCAGGTAAACGCTTGCTGTGATCACGCTTCATCTATTATCCGTAGAAAGACAGTTTTATCCAATAAACTTTTTACTTAAAAATAACACCCACCCTGGGGCAGAAGACATACCTCCAACAGTCATACTTTCTAGGCTGTTTAAGACAACCCAGAAGCATAAGGCTTAGCAGCTCATGCATTTCCCAACCACTCCCTTCCAAGTTCCAGGCAGGTGCTCCTGGGGTCTCAGTGGGTTAATCTAGATTTAACAACCTGACAACTTACGGGAATCCAATTAGACCCTTAAAGTACAAATGAATGTACTCCTTGGAGGTGGGAGTATTAAAATGTGCTTACTGATGAGATTTTTCTAAATTAGACTACTCTGGAACACATTATTCAAGAGATACATTTACCGTGAAAATTGGCTGCAAAGGGGCCGGTACTGTGGTGCATCAGGTTAACAACCTGGCCTGAAGCGCCAGCATCCTATATGGGCACTGGTTTGAGACCCAGCTGCTCCACTTCCAATCCAGCTCTCCGCTATGGCCTGGGAAAGCAGTAAAAGATAGCTCAAGTCCTTGGGCCCCTGCACTCACGTGAGACCCAGAGGAAGCTGCTGGCTCCCAGTTTCAGATCCACATCAGCACAGCTCCAGCCATTGTGGCCAACTGGGGAGTGAACCATCGGAAAGAAGACTCTCTCTCTCTCTGCCACTGCTCTCTTTATGTAACTCTTTCAAATAAATAAATAAATAAATAAATCTTAAAAAAATAATTGGCTGCAAAGTAACATACAAAATACCACTAGGATGTTTATGTAAAAACCTAGACAAAAATCTTCACCCACTTGCTGACAGCAGCTCCCGGGCACCTGCCAGGCCTTCGGGCTGTGTGAGGCTTCAGGAGGACCCCACCTCCACAGGAGGACTCTCTAACGCTGGGAACTAGTATGTCGCTGAAAATCCAGTGCTAAATACAGATCCCAGTGTGGGGCTGGAAAGCACAGGCTCCATGCGTGATAGGTGTGAAGATCACTGCAAACTTACCTGCAATCTGTAACAGTCTCTGCTGTACTTGATGTACAAGGCTGAAGACCCTTTGTCTCCTGCCCTGTCCCACCCTACTGTGTCCCTCCACAGAAGTTATCCTTTGCATGGGTTTGGAAGGCATCCTTCCAGCTCCTAGGTGTAGATTCTGAAATACGTACTGGGGTTTCTGGGTTTTAAAAACGTGCATGCATGGCACTATATAATAACATACAAAAACTAGCACTCATTCATTTTAACTCCATCATGTGAGCTGTCTGACAGCACAAGTCACTCTTAGTGAGCAGACCCTGTTACAGATGGCAGGTAATTTTGCAGTGAGCCTCTTTGCAACCTATCACCCACGGAGCCTGTGCTTTCCATCCCCACACTAGGATCCCTGCGGCCCCAGGGCCCATCCCACAGGCTTCTGAAGGTTGAATTTGTGAAATGTGCAAAAAGGACTGGCCCGTGACCTCCACTTAGTGGCAGCAACTGGTAAATGCAGGGGCCCTTTACACAAGGAAACCAGGTACCACAATTCTAAGCCTGGTGAGTAGTTCAACACTCACTTGTAGTTAAAGGATTCTGGCAGCTGCGACTGGAGCCTGCAGTAGTGTCTTCCCCAGAGCTTGCTTAAGCCCCCAGGACTAACAGATGCAGCGCGCTGGTGGCTGAACACAATGGCTTACCCACAGCAGCCCTCCCATCTGAACTCGCTTGCCTTGAGATTCTCCTCGCCCTCCATCATCTAAGGCTCCACTGCCCTCAGCCTGCAGGCAGAACTACAGGGTCTCCCAGACACCCCCTTCCTCGGTGTCTCAGAATCTGGAGTCTCTCAAGGCTGCCAAAGCCGTCATCACTGTGTGCCTGGCGTCTTTTGGCAGATGGGACCTGGTCATTAAGACCCCAACCTTCAGAGGGTCACCAATCCCTCTGCCCTTCCAACCAGATTTAGAGAAGCCCAGTTAGGCTGCTTCCCCCTTCTGGAACCTGAAGACACACTCCCACTCCAGACTGTAGAGCAAAGGACAAAAGGGGCCCTCTTCATGCCTCGGCCTCCTGGGATACAGAAACTCCATAGTGTGGGCAGAGTAGTCTCCGAGTGCAGCCCTTTTGATCTGTGCCAGTGCAAAGCCTTTACTTCTCCAACAAGAGATATCTGGGGAACAATACACGCATCGCCAACCATCAAATTTCGCACCCGGCTCAGTGCCCTCCCCACAGGATCATCCCACGCCTGGAACACTTCCTCCCTTTCCTTCCTGCCCCCTCCAAAACCACCTCTTGATCTCCAGCCAGCTAGAATGTGTGCAGAAAGAATGCAAACTCAATTTCATATTGACCTTGGCTCAATTTAATTAGGATGATAAATCGGATGGGGAGTTCAAAGCAAAACTTGAGGTTTGGTCTCTGTAATATAGATTATTGTTTCTTTTATTTTTTAAGCATCCCTGAGCAACTCCTCATTCCACATTCCTGGATTTTAGTTCCTTGCTCCAGGGATAACAACAGAAATCCCTAAGATTTCTCCCCTCCCCCATACTTTCATCTCTGTCATTCTCCGTGGAGCCTCACGATGGCACAGGGGGTAATGGGAGAGCAAACAGGCAGAATCTCTGCAGACTTGGCGGGGTTACAGTGGGGACAGCAGTACACAGCTGCTGAAGCCTGGGGCGTGGCATGAGCACTCATCTCCCAGAGCAGGCCAAGACTCACCAAAGCCCATGGGCAGTGTGATCTTCCAAGAGCAGTCCATGTTATTGGGGTAGTTGCCCAGGAAGCCAGGGCTCAGGATGACCCCCTCCATCTCTTCCACTGCTCCCCCACACTGTGCTGTGACAAGGAGACCGAGGGTTAGGCCAGCATGGAGGCATGCACTGGGCCACACTGGTGGTCTAGAGCCCCCTTACAGCAGTGAGTTTTGACTTTCCTGAGTCACAAAGCTCTTTCAGAATCCAAAGGGGTCACCCTACAAAACTGCACACCCAGACCAAACTGAGTGAGTACATTCAGGGAAAGGTGCATAGGCCTAAACTGCTAGGAGTCCACAGATCCGAGAGAGGGGGGTCTTGGGCTTGATCACAGCCCTCATGGGTCCTTGCACCCAGGACCTGCAGGAAAAGCGGGGTGGGGCTGCTCTAGGTCCCACCACCTGGCACACAGTCCCTCAGGTCTCCCTTGCCTCACTGCCTGAACCACTCTTCTAAAATGGAGACAAATAGTGAAACAAGGAGGTGGCGGGCATTGTGAGCCTACTGCATGCCAGGGGCCAGGCTGGCCAGCAGGTGAGGCTCAGGACAGTGACTGGGCAGCATTCCAGGGGAGCCCCTGCTGGGCTGTCTGAGAAGCAGGGGTCGGGGCAGGGGCTGGGGATGCTGATTTCTGAGTCACCTGGGGATGCAGGACTGGGTGCCACTGTGGCCTGGTTAGTCGACCTCCTTTAGGAAAGGGTCATGTGAGCAGTAAGGGGCTACCAGGCGCAGGTCCAGGTGAGTGCCCTCTAGATCCGGGCAGCTCAGTGTGGTGTGGGCTCTGGCCTGGACCTGCTGGGGCACAACTGCCACTTTACTTCCTGTCTAAACCCCTCCAAACCTCAGTTTCCCTGACTGTACAAATGGAGCTAAGAGCAGCAGCTACTTCAGGGGGCTGTTGCGAGGTTCCAACAGAAAAGACTGCACGTGGGACAGGCTTTGGTTAAGCTGCTGCCTGGGACAGCCACATCCCACGTTGGTGTGCTACTGCGCCCGGGGAGGCAGCAGGCGTCGGCTCAAGTAGCTGAGTCCCTGCTACCCATGCAGGAGACCTGGACTGAGTTCCAGGTTCCTGGCTTTGGCTTGCTTTAGTCCCGGCCTTTGCCAACCTCTGGGGAGTGAACCAGCGGATGAGGACTCTGTCTGTGTGTGTCTCTGAAAGCACTGCATGTTACTTGCGACAGGGAGGCCACACCCAGCAAACCTCAACAGACAGCAGCCACTGTAGATGTGACGGCTTGGCAGGGCCTTGACAGGACCCTGGGGGGAGCGCAGTCACCTTGCTGCCCTGCTCTGCAGAGGACCGAGCCCTGGCCCCCGGGGAGAGGACTTCACTTCCTATCCCAGGCCTGCTCTGAGGGGCTCTTTCCTACCCACTGGGCATCCGAGCACCTGGGTTTCCTTTTGTGACTCTGCCACTTTCTTTTCCACCCCCGAGTACCTTCAACTTCCTATCTATAATTAGAGGATACCGATTCCTAATCCTAAGAGCCACAGGGAGGAAGTATGAGCACCAAGCCTTGCACGCAATAGATACTCAATAAACGCTCGCTTCCTCCTTCCCTGACCTGACCAGAAGCTTCTGGAGTGGACGCCCCGTCTTCTCCTGTTTCCACTGATCTCATCACTGCTCAGCAGAGGCTAGGACACAAAGCCAAACCAAGTTCACCCAGAATCCTCAGCATTTCACTGCTGCTACTGCATCTTCTCAATCTCACAAAAAGTCAAAATCCCAAGTCCCTGGTAACTCCACTTGGGACTTGGGTCATTATCTGCAACCAGAACAGTCACTAGAACGTTTTCCATTGGGCATACCTGTGGGTCTTCATCTGGTGGGCAGAGGTCTCCAAGTCACAACACCCTTGAGTGACAACGAAAACAGGGGTCTCCAAGGACTGACTTGGCACAAATCGACTTGGACTTGAACTCCATGATAGGCTACTGAGCTCAAAGCCCTGGGGGCGTGGGTTTGAGTGGATGAGGGTCTGGGCTCTCTTACCAATGCAGAGGAGCGTAGTTCCAGCACAGAATGGTCCCCGGTATGCAGGAGATGTGCGCATGGCCCTGGGGGTTTCAGGAACAGGGCTGAGCTAAGCTGCCCATCAGCACAACCCCACATACAGCCTGGACCAGGGGCTTGCCCAGGACTTTGTGTTGAGGAACAAGAGATACAAAGGCACCTGGACACGCTGTGGGATGGGAGCTGAAGCAGAGGGAGAGGGCTGGGCAGGACAATCACTCACAACCATTACTAAGGAATTCTCATTACTGAAGGTTTCCTTGTGAGATTTCTTTAATTATGAAATTCCCTCATTATCTTCAAAGAAAATAAAATTTTCGTAGGGTCCAATCAAATCCAACTCTGCAGCAGCCCTTCTGAGGCGGGCTTCTGCCAACTCCTCCAGGCCTCTTTTGCATGAACAGCTCCAGGAGGGGTCTGTTCCCTGATCTTTGAGGATTTGCTGGTGCATTTGCATCCCAGGGAACACCTGCTTCCTGCCCGGGGGTGTCTGGCAGGAGGAGGTACCTGGAGGGCACAGCCCGGCTCACTGGAAAGAGACCACATCATTCACCAGGTAGCACTGGCTGCTCTTCACCCCGTTACTGGGCACAGCGGGTTCTGGACAGCTGCTCAGGCCCACGGCTAGACAAGGTGGAGACAAAGCAAAGGGAGAATGGCACCATCCTGCAGACCAAGGCAGTGGGAAGAAGCTCCCAGCCCGGGGGCTGGGGCTGCCCATAGCGAGGCACTGCTATGGTTGGCTGTGTTTGTCCCCCAGTGGTCCATGTATTGGGACCATGGGCCCCAGGGTGGTGGCACTGGGAGGCGAGGCCTAGTGAGAGGTCCTGGGTCAGCTGGGGGCATGCCCTGGAAAGAGATGAAGCTGCTTCTCCTGTCACTGTTCTAAAAGCCTGAGCCTGCCCTGCCCCACTCATTTCTACCCTTGGCGTCACCTTGACATGACGCAGCCAGGAGGAGCCTTACTGGAACTGGGCTGATGCTAGCGTCATGCCCTTGAACCTCACACGCTGTGAATGACATATGCCTTTTTCTTTGTGAGCAGCCTGCCCCAGGGAACTTCATTATAATAAAAAAGAAAAGGACTAGCGCATGCACACGCAGACAGCACCGAGGCTCTGCAGACTCCAGATTCCTGGGGCAGGAAGGCGTCCTCCAGGGTCCTCTGGCTGCCTGGTCCACCTGCTGAGCTCGGGGCCAGGAAGAACCCCAGCCCCAGGCCGAACACCTCAGCACTGTCCTTCTCCCTCACCCTGCGGACAAATCCCAAGAGCCAAGACACAGAGGGAGATGCGGTAGGAGGGCGCCTCTCTCCTAGATGCACCTCTGTGACGCTCAGGGGCTCAGGCTGAGCCCGCAGGCCGGTGCAGGTGGTCCCGAGGCAGTCTGCAGAATTTCTCCTACTGTGTTCAAGGTCAGGACAGCTCCTGTCAGGGAGCAGCCGGTGGCTCCTTGCACTCTGCCTCCTGTGGTCTGCACTGCCCCCTCTCATTCCATACGCGGCGCCCAGGCTGCTTCAGCCACCTCATCCTCACTGCCATCCAGTCCTGCTTAGCATGTCCCCATGCACCAGGGCACTCCCTAGACCACCACTCAGCCATCACACAGAGTCCACCCTTCTCATCCAGAGCCTTCACAAGCTTGGCCAGGGCCCTTCCAGCTCACCTCTGTGGGCTCCTCACTCCTTGACTTTTCTACTCCAACCAGTGCTGACCCTGCCCTCCTTATATACCCGGCATTATATAAAGCGATTTCCTCAGCATCCACCTCAGCCTTCCTCTTCCTCTTCCTTCCTGCTCAGGCCTTCCTCATGGAAGCAGCACATGCCCAGAAGGTTCCATGAGCAGGATGGGGCCTGCAGGGCTACACGTCCCCTCCTCCCCTTGCCACGGGCCACGTCACCCCGTATCACAGGAGAGGACCCAACTGAGGGAGGTTCCACATGTGACCTACGTAAGCCATGGAGCCAAGATTCAGACCATGCCCAATTTGACCCCAGCAACAGGAGGACAAGGGCTGAGGCCACATGAGCTCATGCTCGCCTTCTCTCCTGAGATCGTCCTCACCCTGCTTTGACTGGCTGACTCCCAGGCAGCAGGTAGCAGCATGGCATCTCCTGACGGGCAGCTTCTGCGCTTCTCCCAGGCCCAAAGGGCGTGCATCTGCAGCTGCAAGCCCTTAAAAGGCACCAAGTAAATCTCTGTGTGTTGGAGTGGACTTCGCAAGGGCTGCAGGGCTCAAGGCGTGGCTGTACTCTGCCTGCCCCACCCAGAGCAAGGACAGCAGAAGGGAGAGGAGGGCGGGGAGCTAACCTGTAGCTAGGTCTGACTCTAGGCACTTGGGGATGGCCCAGGGAGTTTGGATCAGGGGAGACTCTGCCCTCCTGGTGGCTGCCTTGGGAGATGCAGGCTGCCTGGGGCACCATGCACCAGCAGGGAGCCCAGTGCTTGTGTAAAGGAGTGAGGAAGGACCGGTGAGCCTCGGCCCTCAGCCGCAGCCCCTCTCTGTGCAGCAGATGGGCAGTCTTCCATTCAGGAGGCTCTGATAACTACATGGGCTTTTTATTTCTTCAGAGGGGAACTTACATACAATGAAACACACAAATTGCGTTCACACTGTCATGATTGGAAGTGTGCACGTGTTCTGAGTGTTGACACAACAGTTGGCACCTGTGTCACCCAAACCCCTGTCAAAACTACAGAGCATTGCAGTCACTCCAGAAAACCCACTCATCCTTCCCAGGCAGTTCCCGACCTGCATGTGAATGGGAAGCCTGGAAATGCAGTCCATTTTGGGGCCCATGTCCTGAAATATCAGCAGCTGAGACAAAGGCCAAGGCCAAGGACTGGAAGATCATCAGAGTGTGTTTGCAAGGCCACATCTTGATGGGCCTCCTGTCTCTTTCTCCCTGTTCCTCTCCATGCTTCAAGAGGAATAGCTGCTGTGTTTCTGTGTGCAGGCTGCAGGGGCAGGGCCCAGACTAGCTCAGTGCTTGCCAGTGACCAGCACCTGCCAGCCTGAGGTGCCCATGTGCCCCTACCTGGATGCTGGCACCTTCAGGGACCATGATCTTCCACACGCAGTTGAGGCTGTTGAGGGAGGGCTCTGGGAAGCCAGGGGACAAGATGATGCCCCTGTGCTCTGTGAGGTTGCCTCTGCAGGGCACTGGGAGGGGATGCAGCTCTGGTCAGAGGCTCCTCCCACTGGACCCCAGGGCTCCCTACACAGACTTCTCCCTCAGGGCCCCCAGCCTCTGCCTGGGACTCCTCTGTGCTGATTTCTCTCTGTGTCCTCAGGAACACCTTCTTGTTCTGGCTTTGGCTTCCACCAAGGACTAGTCCCACTATACCCAGCTTCAGGGACCAGGACCCCAGGCATGCCTGCCCCAATACCCCAGCTCCTCCTCCTTGCTTTTCTCACACCAAGCCTCAGGACTATGGGACAGCCTCCCTATACCACACAGCTGGCAAGGGGCTGCCATGTGCCTGCAGGCATCTGCTGGGCCTGCCGCCTCCCCCAGGGAGAAGGGGCTGTCAGTGCCCCCACTCACTGCCTTCCCTCACCTGGCCCCAGCTGTCCTGGTGGGTGCTCAGACATTCCACTGCACCAAGGCCCTTGGCACAGGGAGGCTCTTAATTTCTTGTGACCCCTGCAGGGCATAACCAGAAATGTATTCCAAGCAGATGACGGTGCCCATGGAGAAGTCACTGCCCAGCCTCTTGCCGTAGCAGGGTTCCTGCACAGAGCTGCACTGTATGGCGCTGGTCCAGAGCATGGCTGCAGGGGACAAGGGCACTGAGGGGTGGGCCACATCCCTCCAGAAGCTGGGCCAGGAATGCAGATGATGGGGCTGGAGCAGACAGCCTGCAGGGAGCCTGGGAGGCTTTGGCCACTTCCCTTAGGGCAGGGGGCGGGGCTCCTTGGATAGGGCCCACTGTACTGCAACTCAGCTTGGATGCACAGCATGGCTGCACAGCTTCTGGAGCCATGGAGTGGTTGCCATGGTAGTGTGATGTACCTGGTCCAACACAGGACCAGGTTTCCTAACAGGAGAATGGGCTTTCTTCTCGGCTCCCAGCACCTCCACCCTGCCTCTGGCCTCTCCTCCCTGTGGGTCTTAAGACCATGCCCTGGACTCTGCTCTCTCTGAATCTCCTGTGCCCTCCCTGACCCCTGCAGTGGCTGAGGGGACCCTGTCACCCAGGCTCAGGGATGGTACCCCACAGGGAAGTCCATCTTGGGCAGGGTAGAATGAACAGGACTATGCTTGGAACCTGGGCTCCATGAAGGTGGACGTCCTCCAGACCCCTGGAGGTTGCGGCCTACACCTAGAAGCTAGGAGCGCTAAGACGTCATCTTTCTGGGCCAGTATGGAAGGCAACACAGGCTATGACCTGCTTGCTACCAGATACTCTGTGCACTCTCTCAATCCTGTCGATGTGGTACTATTACTCCTCCCTCCCCATCTTACAGTTGGGCAAACTGAGGCTCCAGGACATGGAGCAGCAGGGCCTAGCTGGAAAGTGGTGGGGCTGGGGTTCAAATCTACACCCATACAGTGCTGGAACCCTTCCTTGCCCTATACTTTTACTGCACCTCATAGACCAAACCAAGCTTCTGGGGGAGACAGTCCCAGTAAGAGGCCAGGGCTGCTCACTCCAGTGCCATCTGGGCTCCACTGGAGCATGGAGGAGTGGGCATGGGGGCAGAAACTGGTTCCCTGGGTCTGCTTTTCTTGATCATTCCACAGAGTTTTGTCTAAGAAATGTCTATTGGGTAAGCAAACAGACTAAATTCAACTGAATTTCAGGAATGTGCCTCATAAGCCAGCAACTGTCCCCAAACACAGAAGAGGCTCAGCCTAGGGTCAAAGGCACCTATTCCCTCAGTGACCACTTTGGGACCCCCACGTGCCACAAACCTTGGTAGACAAAAGTGGAAGCCTCTGGCTGGTACTTGGCCTTTGGCACCAAACTTGATGAGCACTTGATTGGAGGTGGCCAAGGGCAGCGACTCACCTGCTGAGGTAAGGGACAAGGAAGAGAGGAGGACAGTGAGGGCAGGCATCGGGCCCAGCAGGTATGGCCCTGGCCAGGAAGGAGGGGATGCCACACCCCATACAGCAGCTCCTCCCACATCCAGGCGTTATGGAAACAAGACCTCACGGTTTTATTGTACATGCAAAATTCACGAACAACGTGTGTTAGAAGGTACTGTGTGGAACCAGTCCTGTGATGTAGTGGGTAACACTTCTGCCTGCACTGCTGGCATCCTATATGTGCACTGGTTCAAGTACAAGCTGCTCCACTTCCGATCCTGTTCTCTGCTATGGCCTGGGAAAGCAGGAGAAGACGGCTCAAGTCCTTGGGCCACTGCACTCATGTGGGAAGAAGCTCTTGTCTCCTGGCTTCGGATAGGCCTAGCTCCAGCTCTTGCAGCCATTTGGGGAGTGAACCAGTGGATGGAAAATCTGTCTCTCTCTCTGCCTCTGCCTTTCTGAAACTCTTTCTTTCTTTCTTTTATTTATTTATTTATTTATTTATTTATTTTATGTTTTTGACAGGCAGAGTGGACAGTGAGAGAGAGAGACAAAGAGAAAGGTCTTCTTGTGCCGTTGGTTCACCCTCCAATGGCCGCCGCGGCCAGCGCACTGCGGCCGGCGCACCGCGCTGATCCGATGGCAGGAGCCAGGTACTTATCCTGGTCTCCCGTGGGGTGCAGGGCCCAAGCACTTGGGCCATCCTCCACTGCACTCCCTGGCCACAGCAGAGAGCTGGCCTGGAAGAGGGGCAACCGGGACAGAATCTGGCGCCCCGACCAGGACTAGAATCCAGTGTGCCGGCGCCGCAAGGCGGAGGATTAGCCTAGTGAGCCGCGGCGCCGGCCTGAAACTCTTTCTTTCAAACAAATAAATGAATCTTAAAAAAAAGATGACACCGTGTGTGGGTGTCCAAAATTTCTCACACCAATATATATGCTTTTTATCTTTTAACTGCATTTTCCACAAGCTTCTTGAAGGACATTTATATTAGGACACTATTGAGAGTGAAAGGGCATAATAGCTATGTTGGAGCAACCAAGTGGACACGGGGGCTGTCCCATGAAAGCCAGGACATGCTGTCTCCCAACCAGTGACATGCAGCTTGGGAGGAAACCTGCAGCGGCATGGGGAGCCATGGAGGCTGCCGGCCTCTGCAGCACAAGGTGGAGGTGGGGCTGCTGCGTGCTGTGGGTGAGTGTGTGAGCAGAAAGACAGCACCCAACAGAGCTGGGGGGAGCCCTGAAGCTCAGGGCTGTTGGTCATTATGCTGCCCCTCTGCACACACAAGGACCTCTGAGAATGGCTGCTGACCCTGCCTTGAGAAGGGAAGCAGTGATAACCGGGAATCAGGCTACAGCTGAGAGGGCAGCCATGGGAAGCCCAGCAGTGCCTCCAGATACCACGTGAAGCCACTGGCCATGAGGAGCAGACACTGCTGCATTGGTCCAGACGACTGGGCCCAGCCAGGAGTTGTTGCTCCAGCTGACCTCTGGCTCCCGACTCAAAATAACAAGTTATTAATACCACCTGCCTTCATCATCACCGCCATTCCCAACTTCTCCTGGAGAGGGATCTCAGCAGAGCTGAGCTCAGCCCTCCCAGCCTCCCCTCCTCCATCCTCAGAGTAGTGGGTCAGTGCCCCAGGGACTGCTCACAGAGCCCGCGGTGGCTTCAATCCTGGACACACACAGGAAAGCACAGAGGAAAATCGCTGGACTCAAGGGAAAATTTCTGGACTTTAAGGGAGGGAAGACTTCACTGAAAAGTCAAAGCAAATGTTTTTATGCGAGGTGTAACAAAGAACAGGCAAAAATCTCAGAAAATCATTGGCCACGGCTGTCGCAAGGTTAAGCCAAGAATTGCATTGGTGAGGTGACAGGAGGAGACATGCCAGAGGCAGGACTGGTGGCCGGTGAAGACAAGAAGGTGAGATGCTGGCATCGGGCAGCTGGAGTCCACAGGAATTGAACAGTGACAGGAAGAGGAATATGGGGGCCATTCTCCTAGAAACCACAGGGAAAGAACGAAGAGATGAAAATTATCAGAGAAATGAAGGGCGACATGGAGGACAAATGGAAAAAATCCAACAGGCATACGTCAGAAATGCCAGAGAGCAAAGACAGAGAAACTGAAGAAAAACAACTTGAGAGAGGAGCTTCCTCTGCTAAGTCTTGAGATTCAGATGAAGGAGTGTGCCAAGTACCAGATCCAGTTAGTGCAAGGGAGCCTCCCTCTATCATAACACACCCAAGCGTGTGTCTCAAGACTGAAAAGGAAGAAAACATAGGAAAGTCTCATGCACAAAGAAGCACAGCTCCCATGCAAGGTCAGTGCATCAGGTTGTACCCCAATTTTAATATTGAATAGTGGAGTAAAATGGAACCTTTGCTGGGGTATTGACCAATGGAGTGTGTGGCCCATAACCTGGTGTGCAGTCAAGTTGTCATTTACGCGATACAGCACAAGGAACACATCCCATACATGCAAGATGACAGAGAGCACTGCAGCCATCAACCCTACTGAAAGAGAAGAGGGGACAGGAGGAAATTCAAGAACTGGCAGGGATAAATAAAATCAGGAAGAATGGTTTGTGTGAAAACAGCTCTTATTAATGAGGGAATACATGAGCTGGAAATGCCAGAACTTGTTCTCGGGGAAGAAGTCCATAACTTAGCAGTAATTGCTAGCAATGCTAACAAAACAAAGTCCAAAGACAGCAAGGACAACTTGGAAATTTAGAGACGCGTCACATATGAATGAGGCTGTGAGAAAGCAAACTCAAAACAAGGGCAAGGAAGACACAGACCAAAATGAGGTGACCGATGTCAGACAAGTAAAATAAGCCTCCTAACAGAAAAGGTCTGGGAGAAAATGAGAGAAGACACGTCAAGCCAGTGCAGACAGGAAAACTGTTAGCAACATGAGAAGACAATAGAGTAGCTCAACTGTCAGGTGAGCTGCTTTGACACAACATTCCTGAGCAGAACCAGAACATGAAAGATGAAATGGAGACTGGTGGGTCGTGGTCCTCAAGCTTTGTTTAAAGCCCAGCACAGCTCAGGGACAGGGACAGGGACAGTGCCCCCAGCAGCAGCCTGTCCCACAGCAGAGCTTCTCCAAAGGAGGAATGAGAGAACCTGAGTCTACTGCCCTCTATCCCTAGATGTTTCCTTTGTGGGGCCTTCCAAAGATTCGTGGACAATGGAACTAAAAGATAAGCTTCGTTTGGTACCAAAAAACCTGGGAATCCTTTCATAATACTTATTTTTATGAACTTCATGAAGACACGTTGTATGCATGGATTTCAAACTTTTTTGCACCAAATAAACTCATCTTTTCCTTCCATTTTCTGTAACCCTTTAGAGGTACCCTGTACTTGCATCTCTCTCTCTCTCTTTCTTGCTCTCTCTTCTCTATTTCCATAGGTCTGGTATGCCTATATCCATACCCATATCTTTATCTACAGGTTCTAAATATATGAAGGTACCTCAATGAGCTTGTCAAAAATGGAGTTAAAAGATAAATTTGTTTTAGTTCAAAAAAATTAAAGCTTATGTTTAGTTTTTTTCTCATACTATGCATTTTCTATGAACATTGTGCATACATCTCTCTTTTTACCTATGGGTCCTATATCTATACTTACACATCTGTATCTATACTTATGGCTATCTATCTGTCCATCTACCCACCCACCCACCCATACATCCATCCTGTATTTCTGCTTGTATGTATCTATACCTGTATCTATGTCAATATCCAAATTTACAAATTCTATATTTACACCTGTCTACCTATACATATATTTATACTTATATATCTCTCTATATATGCCAATTTGTCCACCTGTCCACTGAGGGATTTTTAAAAAATTGGGACATTCCGATCCTACACATCCTGAATCGGAATGTATGGGGTGTTGGCATTGAAAAATCATTTGGTTGAGAATCACTGAGAATGGATTTGAAAAATTTCCAATACACATTTTCCATGATGTTGTTGGACGTCCCTCATATATATGGATTTCAAATTTTTTTGCACCACAATAAGCTTCTCTTTAATTCCATTTCCACCAACTTTTTGAAGCACCCTTGTATATATCAATCTGCCATTCACATATGCTGGCATTCTCATTGGACCACTGATGAATTTGAAAGAATATGGTTCAATTCTCTATATCAAATAACACATCCAAATAAATAACAAAGGTATTAAAGCAAAACAATGAAGTGAAAAAGAAGTAAAGGAAAACACAGAGGAATATTTATTTGATCTATACTAAAAGCAAAGGAGAAAAATATAAAAGAAAATAGAGATAGATTTGATATCATGGAAAATTTAAATTTTCTTTTTTTTTGACAGGCAGAATTAGACAGGAGTCAGGAGCTTCCTCCAAGTCCCCCTCATGGGTGCAGGGGCCCAAGGCTTTGGTCCATCTTTTACTGCTCTCCCAGGCTGTGGCAGAGAGCTGGATTGGGAAAGAAGCAGCCTGAACTCAAACCAGGGCCCATATGGGATGCCCGTGTTTTAGGCAGCAGCTTTACTCACTACTCCACAGTGCCAGCCTCGGAAAAAATACTTACAAGGCATACAGCTAGTGAAGGATTTGTATCCAGATTATACACTGAACACTTAAAATATAATGTGGAAGGGCTGGCGCTGTAGCTCAGTAGGCAAAGCCTCTACCTGTAGCGCCAGCATCCCCAGTTGGCACTAGTTGGTGTTCAGGCTGCTCCTCTTTCAATCTAGCTCTCTGCTATGGCCTGGGAAAGCAACAGAAGATGGCCCAAGTCTTTGGGCCTCGCACCCACGTGGGAGACTCGGAAGAAGCTCCTGGCTCCTGGTTTTGGATCGACTTAGCTCTGGCCATTGCAG